ACACTGCCAATTATATACGAATCCGTCTGGTGTTTTGCTCACTGCTCCCTATCAAGCGGACGAAGGCTTGCCCTTGCTTCGGAGGACCTCCCTGCTACCAACCCACACCAAGCATGCCGCCACATGGACGGCGGAGAAAGGGAGATGGCTGCTTGATATGGCTTTGGTTGCCCTGAAGAGAGAGAGAGAGAGAGAGAGAGAGAGCGGAGATCAGGCTCCCCCATTCTCTAAACATTAGGTCGGGCATGTCCTCCTACAGGCGGATGTTGGAAGAAAAGTCAACTATAGTCAAGACATGTTCAAAAATGGCCAAACATACGAAGACAAATCGCGTCCAGACTAGTTTTTGATTGTTTCTTGGATATTCCTCCTATTGAGGGACATGCTATAATAAAGATTGAAACGAGCGGTTATCACTGCACCTCGAAGCAACCACCATCGGGGATCTTCTGACCCGGGTCAATCCAGACCCGGGTCAGCCAGGCCTTGCGGGATCCGACAGGATCCTGCCAGAGCCTGCGCCCGAACCCTGGCCCATGCACCCCTGGCCCTGCAGACCCCTGCACCCCGCAAGATCCTGCAGGATCCGGCGCTCTGACTGACCCCCGCCTGCAGGGACCCCCGCCTCAGAACCACGACACCCGCAACCAGCTGCTCGCCCGATGTGCCCGCCGGGTGCCCGACCGTGCCCCCGCCTCCGCTCCCACCCCGTGCGCCCCGCTGGCACTTCTGGGCCGTCGCCCCGTGGCCGCCCGGCCCCAAGGAGCGCTTCGCGCCCGCCTCCGCCCAGTGCAGTCGAGGTTGCTCGGAGGGGGCACGCGAGAGGAGGCAAGAGCTTTCCGAGGGCCACGTGGCCATGGGAAAATGCAGAAGGCGTGGGATGCCAAACACAATGACGCATGAGCACCCTTGACTTGCCAGGGCCGCCCTGCCAGTCCGCCTCGCCTGTAGGCCCCGGCCACGAGAGACCTGCCACAGGAAACCCAGCCCTGCTGCCCCAGGACGTCCACTGGTGTTTGGCGTGGGAGCGACGCGTCTCCTAGGGCAGAACCGTCCAGACCGAGGCACCCAGGGCACCCCCGGAGGCAAGCAAGGCGTTCCCTGGCCTGGGTCTCCACCGTACGCCACGCTTGTTTGGGTCTCCTGGGCCGTTGCCCGGAGCCCGCCCCTCGCGCGCTGGCTGGCATCCCAGGGCTGCCGCCAAGTGCCAGCACGCGCCGGGATCGTGCCCCCCCCGGCGTGCGCTGGCTGGATTTTTCCGCCTGGCTCGCGCTTGCCAGATGCACTGCCTGGCCTGCAACCCAGACAACCCAGGCACGGCTGGCACCCCTGGTGCTCCACCACGCGGCTATCGGACCGCAGACCACCGCGGATATCTGCGAAAGCACAACGTCATGGGATTGTTTCGCGTGCAGCAGCGGTCGCCACACACCAGAAGCTGTACCTCCAATCGGTTAGAATGTCCTGTTCGTGAACAAAGAATGGCAGCCTAGCCTATGACCGACAGATTTGCGAAACTAACTACGGCTGCCATCTGTCAAAAACCACTGGGGTACGCCTGCAAGGTGGTGCCGACAAAACTTGCTGCACGCTTCCTTTCCAACTTCTCGCACTATGGGACACCCGTCATTACAATGGAACCGACATGCGTCAAGGACAACACAGAAGCCGGACGCGACGAGAACACCACCAGCCCTCTGGGCGTAGGTGGTCTGGGGAGCCTTATCCCCCTGAGGCGACCGGCGTCCAGCGTCCAACACTGTTCATCACTGCTCCTTATTGAGGTACACCCCTTCCCCTAGGCGACCGGCGTCCAACCAGGAACCATGAGGACACCATGACGACCCATCTCCCACCATCCCTGTCAAAAACAATACAAACCGCACTGTGCCTCCACATTCGGAGCATGCGCGGCCAACCCGATGCGCCCCCCCCTCCCACCACCCCTGCCAAAAAATAATGCGGAGTACACGTTGGGGCAAAGTATTGAGTCATGTTCGTGAGGCCCGCGAAAAAATTGTATTGTTTTTGACAAGGACGGCGAAGGTGCCAGCCTATTCCCTGCCGTGTGCAGGGCTACCATCCCTGACCACAAACACTACAACATGCATCTCGCGGCTAAATCTGGATCATGCGCGGCCATCCCGCGATCACTGCCAAATGGTTTTGACAGGGACCGTGGGGGAGTGGTGGTACATGGCCTGCTGTGCGCAGGCCCAGACACAATGATTGGAATTGGTTTTCGACAAGGACGGTGGGGGTCGACACGTTTCCCGATGTAATGTCACGTGCGCAGGCGCACCTGACGCACTCTGCACGTGCTCCGAACATGGCGCACCTGGCGTGCCTGGCACGCTCGGGCCCCAGGGGTGCCTGGCGCGCGTGGCACCCCTGGCACGCGTGGCGCATCTCGCCCAAGTGTCGCGCACCTGGGGTCCGCATTGGTTCCCAGTAGCTGCCCATCTAAAGACGACCGCTGAACATGCTCAGGCTCGGGTGTATGTGTTGGGAGGGCGGGTGGGAGTGAGCTAGACGGCTTGCGGGCGGGTGGGTAGCTTGACCCCTGCCCCTACCCCCTCCCCTGGACTTGGACGGCGGTGGTCGTGGGTAGTTCTGGCGTCCAGAAAGGCCCAAGATGGCTCCGAAAGGGTCTCACAGAGTGCAAGATGGCCTCCAAGATGGCTCCAAATAGCGCGAGATCGCTCACGATGGCGTCAAGCCAAGTCGCCAACGAGCTCCCGGTGGAGGCTCCCCAAAAGACCAACATCCTTCAAAAGCATATGGGACATCAAATGTTCTTTCTCGCCTTTTCGCTTCCGATGGCCATCCGAGGCCTCAAGGTGGCCTCAGGATGGCTCCAACAGGGCCCCAAGAGGGGCCCAAGAGAGCCCCAAGATGGCTCCAAGAGCGCCCAAGAGTGCTCCAAGAGCGCTCAAGAGGCGATAGGCACTCTTCGAAAGGCACGGCTAAGTAAAGCACCTTTCGTGTTGTATCGATGTCGTCCAAGATGGATCCAAGAGCGCCCCCAAAACTCCCAAGAGCACCCCAAGATGGTCCCGAGATGCGCCCAGACGGCTCCAAGAGG